TTTTTTTTTTTTTTGGTCCGCGCGCCCTTTCCCCGTTTTTTTTTTTTTTTTTTTTTTGCGGGAAGGTTGCTTGGATTCGTTCCTCGGGTCTTCCTCGCAAGCCGCGCGGGCCAGAACAGATTCTCGCACGACGATCTCGTTTACGCGAGCACAACGTTGGCGTGACAGCGAGATTCGAACGTGAGCGAACGCACCGACGGGCCGACCTCGCGGACGGCCATCTTTGCACATGTGGGCAGGGACCGGGGAACAGTGCTGCTATCTGTCGTCCTGCGACGGCATCGATTCGCATACAGGAGCGACACCACTGGAAGCGCGCGCCTCTCGATATTCCAACAACATTTATTGTGATATCACACAAGAATCTGATCGATGCCTTTTTATTATATTTATTTCGATTTTCAAAAATATTTTTATTAAAAAACAATCTTTCGCGCTGAATTTCAAATATCATTCGAGCAAAAAAAAATCTCAATTTTTTCGACCGATATAAAAAGACTTTTTGCGTTTCGTTCTTTCTTTCTCTTTTCTCTAGACAGGATAATCACCATGAGTAGAGAGAGAGAGAGTGTCAACCGTGACGAAGACGATATGGCGGGATCGACATCGATCGACGTAGGGCCTTAGGGGAACGCGAGCCGGAATGCGGCGAGCCGCGCCTGGGCCGACGTCATCTCCGGTGAATGACGTATGCGGCTGTCGCACCCCACCCACTGCCGCATCCTCTCGGCGCTGAACGATGCGCCGTCTGTCGCGCACGGTGCACACGCGGCTTTCCGGGTCGCCTTCGGTTTAGGATCCGGGCGACATTGAGCGTAAACGGATCGCGGCACGAAACGCGCCGATCGCAAGCGCGGCTACGGCACTGCAACGCGAGCGAGAGTGGAAGCGTCGGGGGTTAGGTTAGGTTAGGCCGCCGCTTAAGCGCGCCACGTGGCGCGGTGCATCGATATTATCGCTCTCTCGAAGGAGAGCCGTAGAAACAACGGCCGTCGTCGATGATTAGTTAGGATCGATCAGACTAATTTCCTTCGATACTCTCGCTCTTATCCCTCCTTTCCCTCCCCTGCCACATCGGTACTCGCGAACGTAATAATGATAAGCGCGATGATAAGCGACGACGTTTGGTAGCGATAACGAGCGACTCTCATCAGTAAAGCGGAAGCTCGCGTTGTTTCGACAAGGATAGATGCGCTCTATCATTGTATTAATAAAGAAAAGAAAATATCAATATTGATAATTAATTTTTCAACATCTTCCTCGAGAGACTTCACCACTTCACTAATCTAGATTTAAAACCGTTCAAGGTTTCAGAAAAAAAATTTCGATGTAATCTCAGAAATATGTGCGAAATATATCAAGAAGGAACTGGACGGATTAGCTATGTCAATAATTAATAAATCTATTATATTTCAAGATTCACGTGTGAAATTATTAACTCTTTTGACGTAGTTTCTTCTTAATATGTATTGATATTTTTTTTCTTGTTTCCAAGCATGTGTGTCGAGAGAGCGTATAGTTTCGTGACGAACGTAACGAAGGCCGTACGGCTTTGATACGAAATAACGTTTCGAGGTCTGAATTACGTTTCGGTTTATGGAGCTTATCGCTTAAGTCGTTTAGCAATTTGCCGTCTCGTTAAAAGAGAGAAGACCGAGATGGAACGGGACGTATCGCGCGAAGGGAAAGGATCGAACGTACCTTCGTGGCGGCACAAGGTGGAAAGCGTTTTATCGATTGACCTATATCGCGAATTGTCTAAAGCGCCGTCCAGGGGCGCTAAGAACTAACCTAAATAGCGAGCCGTCCCGATATATCGATACCTGCAAATTAGGAAAAACGCCCGACTACTGTTTGATTAAAAAAAAAAAAAAATTAGATAAATTACACTGGCCTTCAATTTCTTTTTTTTTTTTTTAAATTTTAATCGTCCGTCGAAGAACGTAGCAAGATCAAACAAGAAACTTTAAAGAATAATTCTTAATAAATATCGCGTCTCTCCTGAAGAGAAAAAAAATCGCTAAATTAAAGCAGGAAAAATTTTATAAAATTGTCGGATTAAAATAGATATTAATGCGTCGTTTACGTCGTTTTAACATGACGGCGGTATTGTACTTATCCTCGCAGAGGAAAAGAGAGGATAGGAGAGGAGAGAGAAAAGAGGAAAGAGAACAGAGAGACGCGGCTCAAACTCGTGCGTCCGCAAATAGACACAAACGATTCGACTCCTGACAGATGGGTTACCGGGTCAGATTAACTATCCCGAGTGCGCTCGAAAATAACGCGCCTCGCATCATACTGTTTCATGATTGTGAGCGCACACAATTACTCGCAATATTCGAATGTCGACGTTGTCGCGTTGCCGAGCGATAAAAGGTTCAACGATCGACAATAGAAGAGGGACCCGGGTCTCTCGAAATTACATTAGCGCAGGTCATATGCCGAGTCAAGGACGACGACGACGAGGAGCCGTCGAGAATAATAAATAAAACGAGCGGCAAGAAAGCAGACGGCGGCAGTAAACTCTGCTCCCCCATCGGTCACCGGGTGTCTTCATGTCCGTGATGGAGCAAGTCAACGGACTCGCACGTCTCGATTTCGTTCGACGTTGCATGCGCAAAAAAAAATCAGCGATTGATGTATATTTTAGGAATCGAACATATTGCGAAGAAGAAGAGGGCAAGTTCAAAATTCGGATTAAAATCAAGAAACCTGGCGTCTTTCTCGAACCTTGAATTTCGGATATCTCTCATTTGTACGAGTCGCGTTATAAAAACTTATTTGCCGTAGTCAAAGCCATTCTTCTCGCGATCCTCGTAAATTATCTCGGCGCTGTATTACAGGAATTTAACGGGTCTTTACGATCTGATAGAAAATTCGATTTAAAAATTGTGAGCGAATATTCAGAGACGCTAAGATAATTTTCTTCACTAAACAATATTTTTTTATGCGACCGCTTGGTATTTTTTGTGTCAAATTATTGATTGATATAAAATGTTTTATGGTTATTAACAAAATTATAATTAAGGAAACTCAATTTTAGAGACGCGGGAAGCATCTCGGTTTACTTAAAAAAGATAGATTATTTCAAAAGATAATCGTATCCGGTATTTTGATACCGTAAATAATGATTAGATAAACTTGAAGATCGACGAATTCTCTTACTGACATTCGGTCAGCTGTTTGGCACACATCCAACGACGTCTAACTATCGGCCTACTATTGCTGCTTGCTAAATAATTAGATTATTAACGAATGTATGAGAGATGTATATCGTCGATCGATGTAAGATCAACATGGTTTTATACATACTATACTCGCTGATATCGCGCGCATCGCGATATTTCGAGCTTCTTCTAGAGAATCGAAATATCGATGTTTGAAATAAATTTATCTAATCGATTAATTGGACGAATTTCCGGTCTCGTGCGGGCCAACCTGAGAATGTACTAAACCTGGCGTCTTTCTCGAACCTTGAATTTCGGATATCTCTCATTTGTACGAGTCGCGTTATAAAAACTTATTTGCCGTAGTCAAAGCCATTCTTCTCGCGATCCTCGTAAATTATCTCGGCGCTGTATTACAGGAATTTAACGGGTCTTTACGATCTGATAGAAAATTCGATTTAAAAATTGTGAGCGAATATTCAGAGACGCTAAGATAATTTTCTTCACTAAACAATATTTTTTTATGCGACCGCTTGGTATTTTTTGTGTCAAATTATTGATTGATATAAAATGTTTTATGGTTATTAACAAAATTATAATTAAGGAAACTCAATTTTAGAGACGCGGGAAGCATCTCGGTTTACTTAAAAAAGATAGATTATTTCAAAAGATAATCGCATCCGGTATTTTGATACCGTAAATAATGATTAGATAAACTTGAAGATCGACGAATTCTCTTACTGACATTCGGTCAGCTGTTTGGCACACATCCAACGACGTCTAACTATCGGCCTACTATTGCTGCTTGCTAAATAATTAGATTATTAACGAATGTATGAGAGATGTATATCGTCGATCGATGTAAGATCAACATGGTTTTATACATACTATACTCGCTGATATCGCGCGCATCGCGATATTTCGAGCTTCTTCTAGAGAATCGAAATATCGATGTTTGAAATAAATTTATCTAATCGATTAATTGGACGAATTTCCGGTCTCGTGCGGGCCAACCTGAGAATGTACTCTCTCTCTCTCTTTCTTTTACTTACTATTCGCAGCGACTCGATATTGGGGCGGCATTTGCGTTTGCTGCTGCTGCTGTTGTTGCTGGGTTTGTTGCTGCTGTTGCTGATGATGCTGGTGTTGATGATGATGATGGTTAAGGTGGTGGCTGATGTTGACGGTGAGCTGGGGAGGATGCGTGAGTTGATTGAGGTGGGGACTCGGCGACGGCGGCGGTTGAGGCTGATGGCCGGGATGCACATGGTGATTATGACCTGGCTGCGGATTCTGACCGGGATGCGTGGCGGTGAGATGATGGGGATGATGGGGACCGCCACAGTGCGGCAGCAGACAATGCATAGGTGCTAAGGTACCGACGGCGACACCCACTGTGCCCTCCTTCGAGACGCCATATCTCGAAACCATTCTTCCTTGATCGAGCAGCCCGTCGCTGCTCCTCGGCGTCTTCTCGCTCGCACGTAGCGAGGTTCTCGTCGCACGCGACTCCCTCTCGGCCGGGAATCGCTCCACGATGATGATCGCTGGTTAGAGATGACCGTACGCTATCGACGAAATTCGACGAAAGGTGTTTACGTAATGATACATGCAGCGAAACTTATTCGCGACCATCGTCGCGATCCGGATACCGGGCGGATTCTCTTCCGAACACGAATGTCGATTACGACGAGATTTTTTTTTTTTCTTTTCTTTTTCTTTTACGCTTTTCGAGATCGGAGAATTCCTCCTCTTGCGTGAAGCGCGCGGTCTCTAAGCTAAACCACAGTTTAACGACGTTGGAGAAGCGCGAGAGGTTCGCCCGTACTTAACCAACACAGATCGCGATCCGTCAACTTAACAATCGGGTATGGCGCGCCATGGTGACATCGTCTATTCGTCCATTCGGTCGACAGACCTGAATTTCCGCCTTCCTCGATGAACGATGACTGTCGTCGCGCGCTTCCTCCCGTACGGCATTAAGCGCAGCCGTTCAGATCGATTTCAAAATTCAGAATCCGTCGAATATACGATCTGTCGTCGCGCACGAAAAAAAAAAAAAATATCGAAGGTCGTTGCGTACACGCGTGATCCGACTGACTGTAACTACTGGTTCCGAAGCCGCGCGAAAAGAACGCGCGGGCGTTCGGTCCGCCCGTACGCGTGTGCGTGCGTACGTGCGTGCATGCGTAAGTGTGCACCGGATCGTTCACAGAATCGCAAATGAGATCTTTCGCCGAGGTTTTGATGAACTCGATTCTCGCGTAACTGAAGCTGCCAAGAGAAAATCTAATCAAATTAAAGGCGCGTTTTCACAAAAAAAAAAAAAAAATATATATATATATATATATCAAACGCACACACGTGGTCGTGGCGCGATCGTGATTTTTATCACGGCGACGAGAGAAGGGGCGCCGCAAATCACTCGCATCGATCGTACCCGGAGAGCACCGAGGGAACGAAGGAGGAAGAGATGCGAAGGACGATGCGACGAGGACGACGTGGTTAGGACTCGTCGTAACGGCCCCGACGACTGTCAAAATCACCGTCGCTGTTTTGTCGTCGCGCGTGCACGTCCTCCCGCTTGTATACTTGGCATAGGTGGCGGAACCGGGCCTCTCTGTCGGACTCTCTGTCTCTATCGCGGCTCGTCCAAAATCGATATTTAAGGCTCGACCGGCGTCGTCTCTCCCACTTGGTGTGTCGCTCACTCCCGCCACACTCACGGACGGAAAACTCGCCCGCCGTGGTTCAAGGGGCTTTTATCTCACACCGATGGATCCCCCGCCCCCCAAACGATGACGATATTACGTTATATACGGTCGTCTACGCGCGCGAAACAGTAACGTAACAAATTTTTTTTTTTTTTTTTTTTCCCCCTTTCAATCCTCCCGGGAACGTTCTCGCGTTTCTGCCTCGCCTCGCCGTGAAGCTACTGTTGTCTCGGCGCGACGATCGGGAGCGTTCGGTCGCGCGCCGGAAATTGCCGAAGCACCGTCAACTCTTGCCTAAGTATCTCTCTCGTCGGGATGCGCGTACACTCGGCTCGGAGGGGAAGAAAAACGTGGGGGGGGGGGGGGGAAGAAAAAAAAAGAAAAAGAAAATATGATTTACCGATGGATGAAGGAATCGAAGCACAGGCTGTGGCTGTTAATCGCCACTCGTCGCACGCACGTTGGTGCACGCACACATATATATATATCTCTATCTACACACACATACGACTGGGGTACACGTACGCTACGCGCGACGGCGGCGACGAATGCCAAGAGCGCGGTTGGTGCACCTACGACGCACAACCGTGACGGGTATGACGATGTCGAACGGCGTCGTCGGCGTCGTTCCGACACCCAGCATCAAGATGCACGAGCACGGGTGTGCCTTCCTCGCGATGTAAGTTTCCACCCAACTCCGGTCCGCGCTACTCGGTCGAACGACACGATCTCGTATCTCAACGCCGACGAGAGCGTACCCTTGTTTAAGGGACGCTACGTTGGACTGATGTCCTACCCGCACGGACCTACGGGAATCGCGAACCGCCTGGCCCTAGCGCCATCTGCGACCAATAATGTCCAGGGACGTATAACGTTTCTGGAAACCCCCACTCTTTGCTACGGCCAAGTATGCGTATACGCAGTGTCTTACCTCCCTCCTAATTTTTTTTTTTTTTTTTTCCTATGCATTGTTTATTGTTCGTCTACTATCCGGAATATTTTCTATTATTATGTAAATACAAAACGTATTTCTTCTTCAACGGATTTTGTTCCTTTTGTATCGAAATATGTAAAATATGTTAATTTTAATAAAGAATCTAGTTAATTGAATAAAATAAATGTGCTAGAAATCTTTCCCTTTTCCTCTTAATTTGCCTCTGATAAAACTATCAATGTGTACTTTCGAAAATATTGTCTATTATTTTTTCTCGTTCTTTATTTGATACGACAAAAAAGTGTAAACTTGTTTCTTTCAGTTCTTAGATCACTTTTGTGATGTGTCACGATATACATAATGTATTTGTTTTTTATGATGTATACATAATATACGCATTATTTTTGTCGAACAAATACATTGAAAATTAAATTTCACAGAAATTATAAAATAAAAAACAGAATCGAGATCTTTTTTGAGACACCATATACAGCTTGTCTATTTATAATAATAATAATAATAAATGTGCATGTATATTAAATATTAATTACTAAATAATAATATGTTTAATATAACACAATGCAAAACTTGTTAATTAATTTTCCACAAATTATAAATATCTTACAAAAATCACGATAAACATTCATATGTATGGAATATCTATAAATATTCTTTTCTGACTTTGCAAAATTATAATAATAATTTGTATAATCAATTTGTTTCTCATTCATCTCGTATATAAGCGACACGTATCTCACATGATTAAACTTGCCAAGATAAACATTATGTTGCAGTAAAATTTTATTGTATCTGAAAAAATAATTTTTTTCTTCTTTTATATTGTAATAACATTTGGATATTTAATATTGTTTTATTTAAAAAATCGAGAAAAAATTGCCAAATTTCTTCTAATTTTTCAAGTATAATAATTTATTTATCAAAGTTTTTAAATTTGCAGGACTTTATTTAATATATGTCATATATAGTATCAAAGTATAAATTTAACTCTTTAATAAAGAAAATGTGGAACATGTTTCAACCGAAAGTAGAAAGTTTTTCTCCTATTTGTATCTTGTACAGTGTCATAAAAGAAATAGACAAATCTAGATTTATTGCTTTATAGTACACGAAAGCAATTTACGTGGACTTAGGAAAAATACCATAGAATTTTTGCCGCTAATGTTCATGTGTCGGCATTTCTTAAAGACGAAACGGAAATGATATTCGATGGATACATAGATAGTTGATAGTTACCTTTGCAAATTCTTTCAACATATCAATGTAACAGATACACGAGACACGAGTAAAATGAAAAATGAAAGTTGAGAGAGAAAAGATAAAAAGAGAAATAAAAATATTTTTTCGAGGTAAAAAGGTATTTTCAAGGATTTAAGCTAAAAACACCTTTTGTTTAACTAATTATATAGAAATATAATAGCACTGTAAAGGCATAAAGAATTTGTAAAAATATGCTAGTACGGTTTATAATACATATTGTTAGAAAAAATATTATATATTGTACACGTATATATTTATATATATAAATATATATAACTTAAAAAATTACAATAAATTTTGCAATTTTCTCCCGATGTTTTAAACAAAATATATTGAATACACAATCGTCAATACAATATAAAAAGACATAAAAAATCGAGAGAATATTGCAAAATTTATTATAATTTTTCAAATAATAATTTATTTATCAAAGTCCTTAAATTTTCGGGACATTATATATATATCATACAAGTTTTATGCACTACGGAAAACTCAAATCGATAGAAACGAAACACGATTCGAGAAACTGCTCATCGAAGAATTTATTGTTACCGAGCATATGTATCTTGAATAATGATGAATAACTAGTTCTAATGTGCGATAAAAATGGGGAACAAAAAGAATAGTAAAAATTAGTTAAATAAAAGAAAATCCATATATTGTTCTTGACAATCTAAACTATAGATGTCGAACCTTGTCATATTGTAGATAAATACGCCTTTTCCCTTTATACAATTGCCTTTAGTCAAAGGTCACTTTTACTTTACAGAAGCAATCTTCTCATCTTCACGTTATTTGTGTGAAGGTTGTTTTCTACAAAATTTTTATCTTTGTTCTGTCTTTCCCTTCCTCCCCCCCGAAAAGAAACTAACGGTTTTCTCGTAAATTTAAAGAATTTCTTTTGCTTTAAGGGACGTATCTACGTTCACTTAGAAGTTTTTCAACCGTTAGAAGAAAGCTGATATTATTTACTTTGATCGAAACGGTTCTATCGATTTATGTTTGATTTATTATTGGTTTTCGATATATCACGATAAATTTAATTGATAAAAATTGAAAAACTTTTATCGCGTTTATATATATTTATCATATATATTCTTTATTAGAATATTACTT